CAAAGATTTTATTCTTGTGCCCATAGAAGGTTATTATATATATAATACTATATATAATATATATAAATATATCTCATATATTATATATCAGGCAGAACAAGATCTTTGAAGAAAAACAGTTGTCCACATTTTCAAGATGAGAGGAACATCTTAGGGATGGTTAAGAGCAAGTCTGGACTTGGTTACTTATGTTAGCCTGACCTGCAGCAGGCCTCTCATTCTCATCCATCAAATGGAAACAGCAGCAGGAACCTCAGATTAGGTCTCAAAACCTGGACATGTTAACCTTGCACCCCAATGGATTGTACTAGTGAGTGGGGCACTTGAGGTTTCGATTCAAGTTTGCTTGACTCTAAAGCCCATGAGAAGTCTTCGATTTACACAGTTAGAGGACATAGAGGTCGACTGTCCCTAGATGTCCTGATCCACATCTGTCACTATGCAGTGAACTGCCCACTTGAAATGTCATAAGATCAACGGACCATTTCTGGGGCGTGATAAAGGTTTCAAATGGTGGCGGTGGTGGTTTTCTCGCTGGGAACTGGGCCCAGGATCTTATGCCTTCTAGGTGAACGCTGTCTCTACGTCCCCAGCCCTGTAGTAAAACTGACAAGCATTCCTGAACTTACTTAGCCATGTACTTACAGAAGATAGATGATATTTATCCTCCCAAAGAGCTTCTGAGTAAATTTTCTAATGAGGCTTTTGATACAAAAGATATCCTGGGATTCTGTTCTTCGGCAATGAACCACTTCTACCTTCCCTCTGGGAGAAGTGAGGACTGACATTTTTTCTCCTGTACCCAAGAGAAAGAGAAAAGTCCCTTATTAATTTGAGATGACGGGCTAGTTCAATTACAGTACACACAGCACGGGACAGTTACTTAATTTCATGTGGTCAGGGTAAACACGTGTAGGGGTTCTCAGGGACACTCACAGGACACGTTTTCCCAGGTGGCTGGCTTCAACAATGGTTATTGCAAACCTGCTAAAATGCTGCTCTCCTAGAAGATGAACTGAGAACAGACTTGCCTAGAACTTTCTACACCTATTTTAAAAACTGCTTTAGATATTGGAAGGGCTCGTTGACTGACTTAACCCACCATGACAGCATACAGTCTTATTATAAAGAAAGTACCGACAGCCATGTGTTGCAAGTATCTGTACACTGTATGGAGAGATGTTGGCTGTGATTGGTGTAGTAAAATGATGAATGGCCACTAGCTAGGCAGGAGAGGATCAGTGAGATTTCCAGGGAGAGAAAGGAAAAGAGATCTAGGCACAGAGAGACACCAGCGAGATGGAGAACAAGTCGGACATACTGTACAGAGGAGAGGTAGCTGAGCCGTGAGGCAGAACATAGATTAGTAGAAGCGGGTTAATTTGAGTTAAGAACTAGTTGGAGGAAAAACCTAAGCTATGGCCAAGAGTTCATAATTAATAATAAGTCTCCGTGTCAGTCCCACCAATAACGAGAACATCCAATTGCAGCTGTGCCCACATTCCAAATAAGAGTTTGCCCTTACGGCAAACCTGGAACCCTGAGAGACATCAATCTTGAAAGGTTGTATGAGACAAAAACTTAAGCTCATGTTACTAAAGGAAGGACACCAATCTGAAAAGACATGTCTCCAATCTCTACAAAGAGTAAAGCTACAGAGACATTAAAAAATAAGAGGCTATTGCACCCACCCCCACTACCTGCCTAAGTACCAGTGTCTTTGCCTCAATTCCCTCCCCCTCCCTCTTCCCCTCGGCTCAGGGATCATCATCGAAGAGGAGGCAGAAAGAGCCGGGTGACCACAGAAAACATCTGGACACAGCAGGGCAGCTGCACACATGAACATCTGTGACAGCATGTGAAAGAACTGTGCCAACCCAAGCCAGACCACAACCCCGAACAGAGAGTCAGGCCCACAGCCCCATTCCTGACAGTGGGGAAATTAACAATTAGCTGCTGGAAAGGGTTGGTTTTCTCTAAGAAGGCAACCCCTGGGAAGCTGGCCATGCTCCAGTTGTGGTATAGGAGGTTCTTCAGTATTTGTGTTGCTTTCATTGGTTAAGCAATAAAAAAAAGAAAACTGCTTGGCCTGATAGGGCAGAACTTGGATGGGTGGAAAAGACAGACTGTATTCTGGGAGGAAGAAACCAGCAGATAGAGAGAGCCACCATAAAGTCACCAGGTCAGAGACACTGAATATTTCCCCGGTAAGCCATGACCTCGTGGTGATACACAGATTAACGGAAATGGGTTAGATCAAGAAGAGGCTAGATATAATGAGCCAGACAGTTGTAGTAATAGGAGTGGCGGGGCTGCGTCCCCAGCACCCCAGGCCGCCTGGCTAGCTTATGCCCCGAAATAATTACATGGAAACTGTATTCTTTTAAACACTGCTTGGCCCACTATATCGAGCCTCTTCTCAGCTAACTCTTGCACCTGGACTAGCCCATTTCTAATAACGTATGTAGCACCCCAAGGTGTGCTTACTAGGAAGATTCTAGCCTACGGCCATCCTGGGTCGGAGTTCATTGCGTCTGCCTCAGAGAGCAGAGCTATCGCGTCTGCCCGGGAGAGGGGAGCATGGCGCCTCTGAGCTCACTTCCTCTTCCTCCCAGCATTCTGTTCTGTTTACTCCTCCCACCTATGTTTTAACCTATCAGGGCCAAGCAGTTTCTTTATTGCTTAACCAATGAAATCAACAGATTGATATATGACACTCCCACATCAGACAGTAATTAAATTAATACAATTTCTTTATGGTTATTTTGGGGGGTTAAGCTAGCCAGGCGGTGGGACACGGTCCGCTTCCTCCTACTACACAGTGGAAGACTACATTTATCCAGGAATACTCTGGCAAAGCAAATGGAACTTAAAATGTTAAAAAAAAAAAAAAGACACCAAGTTGGGTGGATGGGGAAGTGGGGCAGATTTGGGAAAAATTGGAGAGAGTGGATATAATTAAGACACACTGTACAAAACTCACCAAGAAGTAATAAAAAAAAAAGCAGTTATAAAAAAAAAAAAAGATGGCCAGAAGGTGGTGGCACATGCCTTTAATCTCAGCACTGGAAGGTCGAGGCAGGCAGATCTCTGTGAGCTCAAGGCCAGCCTGGTCTACAGTGCAAGCCCCAGGACAGCTACAGTCGTTACACAGAGAAGCTCCTGTAGGGAAAAAGGGACAGCCAAAGAAACACATTTTGGCCCTAGAATCAGAGCCAGTGAAAGAAATATGCTCTGGCACTGAAATTAGAGCCAAAAGGCTAAAAAGGGCCAGTGAAAGAACCACACTTTGGCCCTGAAACCAGAGCCAAATCTACTTCTGACCAACTAAGCAGAAAACCAACCAACCAATCCCTGAGCAGGAAAACGAACCAATCCCTGAGCACGAGTTCTAGCAAAGCAGAGCTCAAGGAACTGAAATCTGAGCAATTCCCACCCTGAAAATCTCTCTTGAAAAACTCCTCCCCTATGAAGACCTATATAAGCCCTAAGCCTGTTCAGTTTGCTGCTGCTGCCCTCCTCCACCCTCGCAGAGTCAGCTACCCTCCTGGATTCTTCCCTCCCAATAAACCTCTCTCTCAATCAGTCAATCTCTCTCTTCTGTTTTTCAAGACAGGGTTTCTCTGTCCTGGAACTAGGTCTTGTAAACCAGACTGGCCTTGAACTCAGAGATCTACCTGCCTCTGCCTCCCAAGTGCTGGGATTAAAGGAGTGTGCCACCACCGCCCGGAAAATTCAATCACTTTTTTGAAGGTGTGTCAGCTATTATACTTACTGACATCTAGTGAGCACTTTATATAGGCTTTTCAATCTTAAGGAAATAGGTATTTTTATTTTTTTATAGTCAAGGACATGCATGATAACAGAATTGAAATAATGAAAAATTCACAGACTAAAAATTTACAGATCACTTTCTGACCATAGGGTTAGGTGTTTTGCTACTGGCTTATTTCCTTAACATCTTGTTTCAAAAATACCTCTTTCTGTTAAAACACACACACACACACACACACAAACAAAAACAAAAAACTACGTTTCAGAGACGACCCAATCGCTGGGAAGCCCGAGACGATGGGGCGGGGCGTGGACTCAGCGACTACAAAGCCCAGCATTCACCGCTGCGCCGCCCACCGCTCGCAGGGCTGAGGTTTCTTTCGCCGCTCTTTCCTCCTCTACCAAGTTTCCACATCGGAGGTGGCTTCCTACGACCCCCGCAGGTGACACTGCCCACAGCTGCATGCATCCCGAAGACCGACCTGGCTGCGTCCCAGGCCTCCCGGGCCCTACGTTCCTGCGGCACAGCCCACGATATCCACCTCACCCGCAGCTGCAGCCGAGCCGCTCCACAGAGGACGCGTACACGGTTGCTACGGAAACGACGTGACGTCTCGCTCAACTCACGCGGCGGTCAAAGGTCGTCCTGGCGAATTCCGCTTCCGTTTCCGGGATCTCGTTTGTTGTGGGCTGGCTCTCAGGTGTGGGCCTTTTCTCGAAACTGATTTCTGAGGTTCGAGTGTGGGTCGAGGTTGCTCCAGTTCAGCGGCTGCAGACATGGCGGCTTCTACGGCGGCCGGGAAACAGCGAATTCCCAAAGTGGCCAAGGTAAGCGACGGCAAAGGGCCCCAGCACAGTATCTGCGGTGTCGTGCTCCGGACGCTCGGGGTAGCGAGCTCTGCGCCTGGGTCGGTGGCGTGGCGAGGGGTCTTGTCACTCCAAGCTCGTCTCGAGTCTGTCCTGCCTCTCCCCCCCCTTTCTTCCCTCCCTCCGTGTCTCTCCTCTCTCCTCCCTCCCTCTCTCCGTCTCTCTCCTCACTCGTCTGTCTGTCTGTCTGTCTGTCTGTCTGTCTGTCTGTCTCTGGGTTTTTCAAGACAAGGTTTCTCTGTAGCTTTAGAGCCTGTCCTGGAACTAGCTCCTGCAGACCAGGCTGGCCTCGAACTCACAGAGATCCGCCTGCCTCTGCTGGGATTAATGGCGTGCGCCACCACTGCCCCTCTGGGTCGTTCTTCGTGGCCTTTTTGCTTTGAGATAAGTTTTCATTTCCACGTGTAATTATTGTCAAAGTCTAATGTGGGAGCTTTTTTTCATACTGAGTCATAAAAGCCAGGGTAGGTGTGCTGGCTAGGTTTTTGTCAGCTTGACATAAGCTACAGCTATCTGGGGAGCGAAGGAACCTCAGTTGATAAAAATTCCTCCATCAGACAGGCAAGTCTGTTAGGCATTTTCTTAATTTGAAGGGCCCAGCCTTCTCAAGGAGTGCCACACCTGGGCAGGTGGTCCTGCCTACTGTAAGAAAGCAGTTGAGCAATCAATCCAGTGGGCAGTGTTTCTGTGTCTCAGTTCCTGCCTCTAGGCTGCCCCAACTTCCCTTCCTGATGGGCTGTGATCCCAATGTATTAACCGAATTAACTCTTTCCTCTCCAAGTGCTTTTGTTGGTGATGCTTTATCACAGCGATAAGAAAGCAATTTAGAACGGTTTGCCTGTACTTCGGGCCCACCTAAATCGGAACATGTTTGGCTTGTAGCTACCGTGAATTAGAACAGTATGCTTGCACTGCGGGTCCATCTAAATGTGAACACGTTTGGCTTGTTGAACACAGCTGTGTGTGCCCGAGAAGCTAACAAACTGATGATGGGAAGTTTCACCTGACTTAAAGTGTCAAGAGAAAACCAGGTTGACCACTAGAGGGGTTAAAATAAGTAGAAGAATCCTGTAAACAGGGTACAATGCTAGGAAATCGTGCTTATTCTACATCTTTAAAAAGGAAAAACTAGCCGTGCGATGGTGGCACATGCCTTTAATCCCAGCACTCGGGAGGCAGAGGCAGGTGGATCTCTGTGAGTTTGAGACCAGCCTGGTCTACAGAGCTAATTCCAGGACAGGCTCCAAAGCCACAGAGAAACCCTGTCTCGAAAAAACCAAAAAAATAAAAAATAAAAAGGAAAAACTGCTGTTGTTTGTCCCTTCTTTTTTTCTCTTGACTTTCACTATGGACTCATTATCATGGATGCCATGAATTAAATAGAAAATGCTGGATTCCCGCCCCCTGATTCTGTCTCAAAGAATTGAACATGTCATTCAAAGAGGTCATCTTGTCCTCATACTTGCGAAGTTCACATCCTGGAAAATGTTTGTGGCTTTTAAAACTCTTGTGTGGAGAACACTATCCAAAATAGAAATGTCCTTTTTTTTTTTTTTAAGGTGAAAAACAAAGCGCCGGCCGAGGTACAGATAACTGCCGAGCAGCTCTTAAGAGAGGCTAAGGAAAGAGAACTCGAGCTCCTCCCACCTCCTCCTCAGCAGAAGATCACAGATGAAGAAGAATTAAATGATTACAAACTGCGGAAAAGGAAGGTAAGTCTGTTGGGAGTGTGCTGTGCACAGCTGTCCATGTCTCCATCCACTGGGGAGCACCTCGCACAGCTGTCCATGTCACCACCCACTGGGAGAGCACCCTGTACAGCTGTCCATGTCTCCACCCACTGGGAGAGCACCCTGTACAGCTGTCCATGTCTCCACCCACTGGGGAGCACTCTGCACAGCTCTCCATGTCTCCATCCACTGGGGAGCATCCTGTACAGCTGTCCATGTCTCCACCCACTGGGGGAGCACCCTGCACAGCTGTCCATGTCTCTACCCACTGGGGAGCACCCTGCATAGCTGTCCATGTCTCCACCCACTGGGGGAGCACCCTGCACAGCTGTCCATGTCTCCATCCACTGGGGAGCACCCTGCACAGCTGTCCATGTCTCCACCCACAGTAGGAACCAGGGTCTGGGAACTCAGAGACAGCCTATGTGGTTTGACCTCAGGCTAATATTTGGGATTATTTAATCCACTAGTATTGTGGAAGTTATATGTCAAACTCTCCAAATTACTGAGGGTACTTAAAAGTAATGTTAAAAGTCGTTTTCTTATTAGGAATGAGAGTAGCGTACATTAAAATACTCGTTATTGTTATGGACAACAGAAAAACTACCAGTCATTCTTCCAGTAGTTCATTATATCTACAGGTTTTTTGTTGTGTCCATAAACTTTAGAGAAACACTTGTCATTGTAACCTGTAGTGAGCTTCTTGCTTCTCAGCATCTAGGACATAATTTCTCTTAAAAAGGGATGAAATGAGTAACTTTTATTACAAGGCAAAAGGCAAAGTCATTTTCTCTTTAATATACTACCCCCACCCCTTTTGCCTTTCAGACTTTTGAAGATAACATAAGAAAAAATAGGACTGTGATTAGTAACTGGATAAAATATGCACAATGGGAAGAAAGCCTAAAGGAAATTCAAAGGTAAAATTGCCATAAGTGTAATATTTATATAATACTTATGAGAAACCTAGGGGAGGTAGAGCAGAGGGCCGTACTGTATTAGCACCTTCCAGATTCTGTTCATGGCACTGTCAGGTTCTTCTGAGGGTCCTTGGGGCATTGGAAGGACGGCCATAGTGTTGCAGGAGTCCTGGTGGGTCTTGCTGCTAGTACTCCTGAGGCTAAAGAAGCAGTGTTCTATCTGTTTTCTCTGTGTTCATATTTCAAAACGAGAAATGCTCTGCTGAAATCTGTTGTCAAGATGAAGATTGTGGCCTTGACTTGCTGCTGAGCCGCCTTTCTGCATTCTCCCTCATAGCCGAGCCTTGCTGGGACCATGTCCTTGCCAGTTCCTGTGCACACCACTGTTCTTCCCTGTGACATTTGTCTGCTCTCTGCCTTGACCCCTTGAAGGCACCCTTCCCCACCAGCCTCGACTTTGGAACAAACTGGAATTATCTCTTCCATTCGCAGTTCTGGGATTCCTCCTGCTTAGCTTGTTTCACCAGACTTTCCATTTCTTTCTCTGCTTCCTGTCAGACCTTGACTATGATGTTTATGGCATTATGAAATAGTAGCATGCTTCTCTCTTTAAAATTACAGTAACTTGAGTACATCATTGCTTTTTCTCTTTCTATGATCAGAACTTGACTCATGATAGAGATCCAACAAAACAAACAGCAGGCATTGCAGCGAATTTGAAGTGACTACTGCGTATTTTATGGTGCTGCTTTTGATGCTCTCCATATCTTGTTTGTTCAGGGCTCGATCCATATACGAGCGTGCTTTAGATGTAGACTATCGGAATATCACACTCTGGCTGAAATATGCAGAAATGGAAATGAAGAACCGCCAGGTCAACCATGCCCGAAATATCTGGGACCGAGCCATAACAACTCTGCCACGAGTCAACCAGTTCTGGTAAGCCTCTGATTGTACAAAGCGGCCTTTTGTGAATTAGCAAAGTTCTCCCTACTGTGTATTAGTTTTACTTGCAGTTATGGTAACTGTTGAACTTTACATTTTACTTTTCCTTAAAATACAGTGTTTTTTAATGTCACATAATCTAGAGTCATAATCCTAATGTTCTACAGCTATATAATAAAACCTAACAAAGCATTGGAAATGTCAACGATTCCTTTTTTCCCTAAGTCATTTTGACCACAGCAGGCATCTTTGAATGGTTCTGTATCAGGTACAAGTACACATACATGGAGGAGATGCTGGGCAATGTCGCTGGTGCCCGCCAGGTGTTTGAGCGCTGGATGGAATGGCAGCCCGAGGAGCAGGCCTGGCACTCCTACATCAACTTTGAGCTGCGCTACAAAGAGGTGGAGCGGGCCCGCACCATTTATGAACGCTATATCCTTTGAATGAGGTGTACGTGGTGTTTGGTTATCATGGGTGTCTACCTCTCAAAAAGATGTCACGGTCAAGAAATGTAGCTATTAAGCTGACATTGAAGGTCAAAAGGCACACTTCATCACTTTTCACATTTTTTTGTAAGGATGGGAATTGTTTATATAAAAATTTGTGGTCTGGATAATTGGGTGATTTGAGTCTTTTCAATGATATGGGTTCATTTTTGTTTTTTTGCACTAAACCCTGGCTGCCAGAACCACAGGTCTATGTTTAGCATTAGCGCTGTTAATGGAGGTCAGCCAGAGGGTCGTTGCTTACTAGCTGTGACTCCAGAGTCATTTAGTTCCCTGAACCTTTGTGTCCTTTCTATACAAGAAAAATTAAAACTAAAGATGGTGAAGCTAAGTATACTCATTGTTAGGGCACTTGGCTAGCATATTCTGAGGCCCCAAGTTTAGGCCTCAGCGCTATAGAAAATTGAACAGCCAGTTGTGGCAGGCTGATGTTTAACATCTGGAAGATGGGGTCTGTAAAAGCACTGTTAGAAATGGCTCTGTGATCCTTGTCACCCAGAGGTATCATATATATATAGAGAGAATGCGATGCATGAGTGTGAAAGCAGGACGGGCCCATGCTGTGACTATAAGGCGCTTTCTCCCTCCCTGAGGCCAGTAGGATGGGGCTCTGACACCTGTTGTGGGACAACCTGAG